TGAGAGCTGTGCCCTGGGCCAGGCAAATGACCACCTGTTAAGCACCAACTGTTTGTCCATTGCTCCCTGCTTGGTGATGATTGAGGGGTTCTGCTATTTTATTCAGAGAAAGAGGTTTGGTTTTGGGGGATATTATTGAAAAAGGATTCGGCACATGCCTTTAATCCCAGGGGCTCAGGAGGCTGAGGCAGGAGGACTGTGAGTTCAAAGCCAACCTCAACAACAGCGAGGCACTAAGTAGCTCACTGAGATCCTGTCCCTAAATTAAATGCAAAATAAGGCTGGGTATGTGGCTGGGGATGTGGTCGAGTGCCATGAATTCAACCCCCAGTATCCCTGGCAAAAAAGAAAAAGAAAAAAAAAAAGGATTTGGAGGCCAAAATTCTTTGTGAAGATAAAGTCGTATTTTATATGGCAAGCTCAATTGTGAAACAGCATCTATGAAAACTTTTCACTGTAGGGTATTCAATGAAACCTATTAGAAGGTTCTGGGTAAATGAGCTATCAGGTCTTGCTCTTGCTCTTGGCTGGACTGTGGCTGGGACAAGCAGGGATTCCAGCCACTAACTGGGTATTTTATATAAATTTGGAACCCATCAAATAGTATCTGACGTTGACTGATTAGCTCTTGTCCTGTGAGTTTCCACACATTTGTTTCCTGGTACTAATCTCATTTTCAGTTTGGGCTGGTTCTGGTTCATTTCTTTTGTTGTGGCTATAGGCCCCCTTTGTTTCTAAGGCAGTTCTTAGGAGTGGTGACAAAGTGACACAGTGCAGGGGCAGAAGAGGGTGACGTCCAGGAACTCTGAGACAGTTGAGGGGTTCCTGGCTCCCCTCCTGGGGGACACCTTGATTTCTGTGGGCGTGGCCTGATTGGAAGGCCAGGCCTCTGCTGACTGGAAGGGAGGGGAGGTGAATTCACGGGAAGCAACTGGGAGGGCTGTGGCATCAGGACATGGGAAGGGTGTGCGTGCGTGTGGCTCAGGACTTCGGGAACACTTGCTGGATTTGGGATTCCTAATACTCATAAGGTGGAAATCACTTGCAGAGCGTTTAACAGTGTGCCTTTTATAAAGCCCGTTTTTTAAGGTGTTATTTTTCTCTGGCTTATTTTTTTTTTTTTATAGCTTACACTATCACTTGAGAACAAAACAAAACTGACTGATTATTATCATGGATTTTTAGCTCTATAGCTGTGTGGTTCCCTCAGGTGAGGAGTTGGATCCAGACAGAGCGAGATCCAGTGTGAACAGCAGGCCCTGGTCAGGTGGAGGGATTCTTTTAATTTAATGGGGCCTTTTCCTTCTCCTTTTTTCATAGCTGATGTACCTGTGAGTTGGCATTTATAAGAGAAGGCTGGGCCCTCCACAGCTAGGAGTTCTGGATGGGCCTGTGTGGCGCAGTCTTCCTGATGGATGGGGACATGGTCCTGCTGAGCCCAGAGCCTTCTGCTTCCCTAGGGACCCAGAGGCAGCTTTGCTGGCCAACCCTGACACATGGGGACCAGATGCTTTGTGGGTCACCTGCTGGGGGCCTGCTGCCAGGACCTGAGGGGGGTGTCACTTTCTGAGCAGCCTGCTTGGACGCAAGCTGAACAGGTCCTGGCTTTGGCTTCCGGAACAACGGGGAAAGACCAGAGGAAGGCACAGCTTCAGGGTGCCCCACAAAGAGTCCTGGAGCTGTCTGTGGGTGGCACGACACCCCGTTGTCAGCACCTTGAGACACCCAAGGTGGGATTCCTCAGGAGACTCTGCCGACTCCTGTTGGGCTCTGCTGCTTATTGGCTTGCGTGATGTCAGGGACGGCTGGGAGAGTCCTGGTGCACTGATCGTACAGCAGGGGAGGGGACCACACCCCTCTGCCAGTGGCCTCTCAGAAAAGACATTGTTTTTTCTAGTGGGGGACAGTTCTCCATGGTCTGTCTTTCCTAATTCTGAGCAACAGGGAGATGGTCCTTTGTTTGGGGCCATCTTTTCAAGGAAAAGATAATGACTTGAGAAGAGAAAATCTCTCTCTCCAGAACAAAAGGCAGATTTGCTTATCATCCAGAATAATAAAGACCACAGCTCCCTTCAGGACAAAAGCAATGCCAGCTCACAGCTCCTTATAAACATCCGAGTTCCCCAAGCTCAAGTGCTCGGCTGAGAGGTCAAACCACAGCTGCACAAGGAGTTCCGTCTGCAGCCAGGCCCTGGGTGTCAGGGGACTGGACTTCACACAATGCTTGTGCTTTCTGCTGTGCTGAGTTATGCAGTCCTTTCTCTCTGATCCTGCAGTCCCTCATTTCTGCAGGCTTCTGTGATAATACTGTGGCAGATTAACTGTTGGGGAGAAAGCTGGGCAAAACCTTGGATCCTTCACAGAGCTCACCAGTTACTCCAATACCATAGGAAACACTCCTTTCATTAAAATTGGTGGAGAGAGCACTGAAATTCACTGATAACACAGACATATTAAATATGCAGAGTTAGCATTTTGTATTTTAGTTTTGTAACACCCTATGAATTACTGGAATTTTCCAAATATCTCTAGTTTCTTACATCACTATCTATAAATATCCCCCGCCCCCCCCCCCCGCAAATAGGAAGGATTTTGGATTTTATCTGGCTGAATTTTACTGGGTGTTAGAACAATTCATGATGTGTTAGCTGAACTTCTAACAGTAGTTTTCTGCAAGCTAAGAAAAAAATATAAATACTTTTATTTATCTGTAGATGAAAAACATTCTCAATGGTCCAGTCAAGTCAGCCCTTTGGGAGGAATCACTCTAAGTTATGAGTGAGGATTCTTTTTACGTCTGCAGAAAGCAGTTGTGCCTGGCTCAGTGTATCTTCTCAGTCAGTCGTGTCCTCCAGACTTCTTGTTAGGGTGGTCATGAGTTGTTTTAACTTTTTTCCTTCGTACCCTTGAATTGGCCTTGGAAAGATTCGTAGCATTTCGAAAGATTGAGTGCAAAAGATGGTGTCCCATGTTCAGAAAAGAGAAACCAAAAAACCAATCTCTCAGTGTGATTTCCATGCAGCTACAGGGCAGGGCCTGGGCTCATGGGCAGGACTCAATGGACAGGCCTGCACCTGGGCTCTAGTGCTGACCCTGGGCATGCCCTCTAAGTCTAGAGAGACACTCTGCATGCCCTCACCATGGGCTGAAGATTGCAGGTCGGGGAATCAGCTAATATCCCACTGCCCTGGGTAAGATAGGTTCCAGTTAACTAGCAGGATTCTCAAGACTTGTCATGAAGAATAGCTTGTCTTCTAGATACCTTATTTGTGGGCATATCTCTGTAAAATGGCTCTCTCCAAAATTTTGGAGAACAGCCTGTTTGGCCTGGGATGTGGCATTATTTCAGATGTAGTAAGCAAGGTCTGCTGTAGCTATGGTCTCTCGAGTGCCTAAGTAGAGCTTATTCACTTTAACTCAAGGGCTCTCGAAGTTCATTTCCTTAAGCAGTAGGAGCAGCCTCACCTGGCATCCTGTTAGCAGTGGGATTCCTTGACCCAACCCTAGAAAAGCTGGAGGAGGAAACAGCAATCTCTGCTTTAACTAGGACCTACCCCCTGCCCAAGTGATTCTGATGCACACCAGAGTCTGAGAAGCATTGTATGTGAGAGGAGAATGAGGCTAGTTAGATTTTAAGCAGGAGAGAACAAATGAAGTGATGCTGTCCAGTGTGTAAGCATAACAATAACATTTATTAAATTAATATTATAATTTTTCATTTATGAAAATATATATAACTTGTATCCTATACCAGGCACTGTTGCAAATACAAATAGAGCATTCCATTAGTTCTCATGATGGCTAAACTGTAGATCTCAGGCAAATTCCAGCTTGCCACACATTTTGTGAATAAAGTTCATTAGTAGGTATCCGCGCCCATTCATGTATTTGTCTTCTACTGATGCCTTTAGGCCAGGATGCTGAGTTAAATGCAACTAAGACATGGGGCCCACAGAGCCGACTGCATTTAAGATTTCACATCTGGGACTTTCCATCAGTTCTCAGTAGCAGGTCTGGTGTGTAAGGGAAAAGACTCTCCACATTTCAGGTCGTTAAATACAGATGGAGTTAGCGGTGAGAGCAGCGTGCAGGAAGGCCAGGCAGAGGTCTGACAGGAGGAGGGGCAAGGACCAGCCAAAGACTGCTGTGTGAACGCAGAGAAGGTTGAAAACAGACCTGCAAGTTAGAAAAGCAGGAAATGAAGGAAAATAAAGAAGAAAATCATGGTTGAGGAGGGAGTTTTTATTGACTGAAGGAATGTGGCCTAGATGAAAAGCTAAAATACAGGTGGAATTACAGAAAGTGACTGGGGAAGGAATGAAGGCCAGAGACGCTAACTGGGTTGTTCCCAGCTGCCTGGCCCAGGTGCTGGGCAGCAGGCCCCCAGGGAATTCCAGGATGCAGGCTGGGCAGAGAGGGCAGGCTCCCAGCGAGGCTGGGAAGGGCCACACTGCTCCCAGTACAGCCGGGCCTGCTCGAAGTCCACCGTGCTTGTGCGTGTATTACATGGGGCTCTCCAGACTCCTGCCTCCCCTCCACCTGCTAATGACCCGCTGCCACACTGCGAGAAAGCCCTGGATTTCCCTTTGGGGTGCTGGGGGTACTTCTAGGCTTCGCCTCTAGGTTACTGAGGGCAAATCACGTCAGCACCCAGAGTCTCCCTTTCCTCATTGGTGAGATGCTGTTTCCGGCTTCCTCCTGTCTCCTGTTTTCCTTCAGGTTCACTCATTTGGGGCAGGCATCACTGAATAAGGGTGCAGAGTGTTTCCCCAGCTCCTGGCTTCATGAGCACATTCCTTCCAGGGGGGAATCGCTGACCCACTGGACGCCAGCCAAGGGCATCTCTTTCCCCCAAAGATCTGATACCGATTGATTCCTGACGCACACCTAGTGACAGGTTTCTCCCCTTGCCCAAAGAGTTCACTTACTGTGGAAATGCTTAGAGACGGGGAATGGCCAGCTGGGATCCACGGGCCTGATCGTATTTCTCATTCTTTCAGGAATTTTTCTTCAAATGTGGAGCACACCCAACCTCCGACAAAGAAACCTCAGTAGCTCTGAACCTGATCACAACCAACAGCCGGGATATCTCCTGCATAACCTGCACGGACACCAGGTATGCCCTGGGAAGGGAGGCCCTCGGAGTCTTGCTCTCCCGGGGCCATCCTGCCCTGGACTGTGCTCTCCTGGGGAGCCCCTGGCCTGGGCCCGTGCTGCGCGGCCAACCTGGGTATATCCTAATGCGATGAAGCTCTTTAAAATGCCAGTTCCTTGGTTTAATCAATAGTCAAATAGGTCATCTCACCTCTGTGAGGACCCCATCTAAAAAAAATTACAGTCTGCGTGCATTTAAAATGTAAACTCATACACCTGGGTACAAAATGTCACTCATCCACATCAGTGAGTTCCACAGTGAAATGAAATCTAGATGCTAACATTGGGAATGGAAGAACAATTTATGAACACCATTCATCCTTGGACTATATGATCCATACTTATATTAAAAATACCTTTTCTACGTGATTAGTTCAGCCAGATATTCATCTGTATTCATGTTTGAGCGTCACACTCATTCATACGCCCAAAGTGAAATTGTGTAGCTAATTCTGGACCCAGTTGTTTCTAATCCCAGTGAATACAAGAAAAGAAAGAAAATTTGGATGTGGTAAGAGAGCAGGAGAAAAACAAAAGGAAAATGGTTGGACTTGAATATAGCTTAGGAGCCAAGGTCAAAGTAGAAAACACTGAGTCTATTTAATCTGCAGAGTAAACAGCGGAGGGTGGAATTCCTTCCTCTATGCTCCTCAGATGCACAGAGTAAAAGAAACAGGCCCTGGATGTGTTCCCGAGGCTGGTGAAGAGGCTGAGAGGTGAGGGTGGAGACTGAGCTCTGACATCAGGGAGAACCTTTTAGTAAAAGGCAAGTGGATTTCTGAACAGAGTCAAAAAACTTTTGGTCTCATAGTTTTAAGCAGAACCATCTGTAACCCCTGGTCATCTTAATTGTTGCTTCTCACTGGCCTTTGGGACTGTACTACATGGCTTTTTAAAGTGACTTCATGATTAGTGGGTGTTAATATTCCTAGCATGGCATTTCTATTCTTTAAAGATTTTACAGTATTGACTAAAAGGAGCCTAAAAACCTTAACAATATCTGTTGAACAGACCTGTCTCCAACAAGGAACACAACCAACCAGACAGGCTTTCCTTTCTGCTGCCCGGCTAGCCTGCTGTGGCCGCAGCACTGCGACATCGCCTTCCACTGCCGCATTCAGCTTCCCTGGGCAAGGGGAACGACTGCCCGTGGCCAGTGCTTTCAAAACGCAAGGCGCACAACGAGGGTGATGCGCCTGGTCTTTCAGGAAAGGCATTAGAAATTTCTAGAAATGAGGGCTCATCTGCTCCAATAGCAATTGGTATTTAAAACCACTGCAGTTTTTCAAGGGGAAAATTAAAAACAGGTTTCTGGAAATCAGAATGCTACCTCCAGCCAGTATGCCAGAACCTTCTGTTGGTGTTGACAACGGTGACACAGAAAGGCACACTGGGGATCATATCATCTGAGGAGGAGCACTGCCCTCCCAGCCTCCTGCTACTGAACTGATCCTGATATTAATAACTGGCAACAGCTTTTGAAGGCAGCAGGCCACCTCCCCGACACCCAGGGGACCACTACTGGAAGAATCATATGGTTGCAGTAAAATTTTTATGTTATTACTTTAGGGTGATTTTATGAATAGGAGCTACTATACCCAGTGAATTTAAGCGCATGTGTATATAAGAACAATTGAGTGAAGCCCCTGTGTCAGGAAGGAGAGGGGCTTCCTGTACTAGGGAAGACCGAGCACTTGGTGGACGTGGGCGTACAGATGTCACGGAAGCCGGCAGAAGAACTCTCTGTCTCTCTGGGTGTAGGTGGATGGTTTTTGTGGGTTTCTCCCTCCAGTAATGCTTATTCCTTAACCTGGAAGTAATTACCTCACAACTATGAAAACAGGTTGGAAATCACTGTAGACCAATGGTTAGGAAGATTGGGGTTTAATTCTTCCCAATTTCTTGATTATGCCAGAATATTTGTATGCATTCATGTTTGCAGGGTGTACTTGTACTGGATGCATAGTTCTGTATCTGGTTGTTTACATTTAAAGTGACATCATGATAAGTTTTGTCTGCTCTGAAATGTTCCATAAAGGCAATTTTAAAAATGGTACCTAAGATTCTGTGATGGAAATATCCTGTTTCCCTACTGTTAATTATTAGATAACTTCTATATTTTTTTAAAAAATAATTAGGGCTAAAATTCATATGCTCTTAGAGAAATCAATGCCTGCATGCTTTGAATGTAAGCCTGCATGCTTTGAATGTAAGCCTGCAGTTATAGGAATGGGATCCGTAAATGGTACTGAATGTTTATCAGTTTTTGATATGTATTGCTAATTTCCTTTCTAGAAACACTGCCCCATTTTAGAAAGTGATTGTCCATGTGAGGCTCCCTTCTGAGTCTCTTCAAGCACCGAGTATGTTTGTAGTTTTAATCTTTTCCCACTTGATAAAGGGAAGAAATGAAACAAATGTTTCATTTTAAAATTGGCACTAAAGAAATCAAGCATTTCTCATTTATCTATTTGCCCCCCCCCTTTTTTGGTGAGAAAACAAGGCAAAACTTTCTCACTATATAAACTTAAGGATGAAGCCTGATCTCAGCAATTATTTTCTAATTCACTAATTATAATGTCATGTGTCCTTTATTAATATAATCCTTATTGACTTTTGAATTTACTTAAATATATTCCTTTATTTTAAATGTTGTATCTTCCTGGAGGTAAAAATCAAAAATCATAATAGATTTAAAAATATAAGTTTTTTCTTATCTATATTTTATGATAATTTTTCTCAATTTTACATGTGTATTAGTCATACATTGTTGATCAAGTTGGGCATATTCAACCTGAAAATAGATTAAATCCTAGGATAGTGTTATTTCATCTGTAAAGATCTTTCCTCTGTACCTCTTATCATTGTAATGCAAGATAAGAATTTTACTCTTGTGCTTTACAGACATATACTTTTATATAAGAGACTTATATCACTTACATTTTCCTCTTAATAACAATTCAAAGAGCCCCCCTACCACTTAGCCAACTTTTGACCCTAGAGAATATCATAATCTCTGTGCCTTCAGTTTGCATATAAAATCCTGGAATGTACACAGATAACCTCCTCCCAGGCTTTGTTTGGTTCCAAAGCACCGCAGAAGGGAAGGCTCAATTGCACTTGCCCCCTGCCTTGTAAACTGGTGAGACCAGTGAGGGACTCACTTTTCCTTGGCCCTGGGCAGGTGCTGAGTTGAAGTCCACCAAATTGCACACACGAGGGAAGATGAATCAGACGGATGTGCTGGCCATTGCTAGTTTGTATAGTTAAAACTTAATTCAGGCATGCAACTTGTGTCCTTTGAGTTTGCATTTTAGATAAAATCTCCCCCTCTCTTTTAAAGAGCACAGTGAGCCGTTAGGGAAGGAGAGCAGCCTGGGTTTCCTGTGTGCGTGTAGCCGCCCCGAGCCTGCGTCTCCTTGCCTCACAGTGCTGACTACTCCAGGTTGCCAGCTGATAGTCCCAGGTTTAAAGGTAACAGTGCAGTGACCTGCACAAAAGAAAGGCAGGGACTGCAGCCAGACACGGGAAGCATGGTGCCTGAAGGTGCAAGAAGCTCTTCTGTTAGTATTTCCCAGGGAAATTGGGACAGAAACTTCTAGACGTCCCTGGGAATCACATTTTGCCTCAGGAACAGCAGTATCAAGTCACATGAAACCAACATGGACAAAGAAACTTGTCTTCTCTCCCTAACCCCTGTGTGAACCCTGGCGCTCACTCTGTGTCAGGGTCCTCGAGGGAAAACAGTATTTCTGTTCCCTGTTTCTCACATTATAATTTCATTCTTTAAAAAAAATCTAAGTCTAAGATGTGTCAACAAATACAATATAGAAAAATCACCATCATTTGGCAAGAAAGCAAAGCTCCCCCTGCTCCCCCCCTGTGCTGCTCTCCCCAGGACTGGCTAATCTGCACTTTTCCCCCTCTATTCATCATCCTTGCATTTACAAAGATGAAGGGAAACTAAAAAATGAACACGTTTGCACGGTCAGAATTTAACCTTCCAGAAACTTGCTTTAAACCCAGTTCCCCGCAGGGCATTAAATCTAAGAAGGGATGCCACCCTGTATCTCCCCTCAACTCTTCCAATAAGGACTTACATTTTTAATGTTGTTGTTTGGTAGAATGGTTTTACAATCTTCTGGCCTTCAAATTTGTCTTAAAATAAAATTTTATTCATCTTACTGAGGCAACGCTGCCATAGATTGCAGACTTAAAAGATTTACTCGGACTTGGATATTAGCTCAGATTTCTCTCAGACCATTTGTACTTGCTCCCAGTACCCCAGGGGGAGGTCTCACTACAATCTGACTGTACTCTGGTATGTATTCATTTGTCACTTAACAAAAGGAGATAAGACTTGGGGATCTTAGTTATATTCTCTTCCAGTGCTTTCCTTATGTCTTAAGCTGCTTCTGCCAACCCACATTTTAATTTTGATTATACAGTAGTTGTATTTCTTCGTGATTCAAAATGAAGTTCTTTATGCATCTAATTTTTGAGACATTGCAGAGAAATCTTAACCAATTTCACCCTTCTTTCTACCAACTTAACCCTTTCTTAATATTCTGGTGTTGGGGAGGAAAGCCACTAGTTTAAGGTAGTCCTCAGATGCTTAGGAGCAGAAGTGGAGATGAAACCCACGTACATAGATTGTACCTGCAGTTTTAACATGGCCTTTGTCAGTAAGTGGCTTCATTTATATAGTGAAAATTTGTTGTAAGGTTTGTGCTGTAGCACCAAGAGGCCTTGTTTGTGCACCCAGGGCTGTATATTTCAACTAGTCACCCTAACAGGATGCACGTCTCACACACTGCACCATGCCAGGGGAAAAGAATATGTCTGTGTAAGTATGGGGAGGCCTGGGACGTCCATTTGCCATAGCATCAAACAGAAAAGCAAATACTGTGATTTAACTGAAGGATAATGGGACATTTATAACACAAGTAGAAGTATGTTGTA